CTCCTCAACCTGCCTCCCATCGAGAAGGGACAGGCTGGCCAGTCATGTGCCTCAAGACCAGGACAAAGTCATGGCAAATCTCATCGAACGATTCATATAGCTTTTCGTCTGGAAGACGAAGCTTGATGGCAAAGCTTGCCAACATCTGGTCAGTCAAGCCTTGGGCAATGAACACCTGTGGAGTACTCGGATCTGCGTGGTGCCTTGCCAGTGAACGCAGTTCGTTCATCAAAGCATCTGCCGTGACCACATCACGCTTGATGTCCTGACTGAACATCTTCTTGCATTCGGCCTTGCCCATCTTCTTCGACGAGTAGGCCAGCTTCACCATTGCATGTCTGAACAAGGCCAAAGAGCCAGAAGAAGCGAAACCTTTAGGCTCATGAGCCAAGACCTCCCAAAGATCTGCCCCCAACGACCTCGCCGAAGAACATCGCTGTCTCACGAAACGCTCTGTCTCCTTGAGGAGCTCACCTGTACTGCCACCACTAGCTTTGAGAACAAAGCTGTACAAAGCTGGCACTGCAGCAGCGCAAGGCGGTCGACTTTGCAAAGCCTTCCGTTTGATCTCAGCGAACGACACTGCGCCCCCTTTTGCATGTTGGGCCACGTACAAAGCATGCAGGCGGCACAACATCTGAAGTTCGTGCTCTTGTTTCTGTAAACTTGCATTGCCATACTGCTGGATCATTGGCAGGAGGTCCGGCCATTGACGGGCGACCTCCTTGTTCAGCACCTTGAACGTAATGCCGGTAGTAGCGGCTTTGTAGAAAGCCTGGTCGTGCTTCTGGACCAAGCTCAGGCTCAGTTTGCCGTCCTGGGTGAGTGCGCCTCCTTCATGCGCAACCTCCTGCACGATCAGGCGAAGTGCATAATTGGTGTGACTCCCACATAGCGTAACCGCTTTCAAGGCCATGGAATCCACCGTCCCCAAGGCACCAGCCGCCGCCAAGCAGATCTGCTGGTTGAAGTTCCGGTGCGAATCCTCAACCTCAACTGCTATGCCATTCACTTTCGAATCCACCCATCCAACGCCACTGATGTTGTCGATGAGCTCGTGAACGTCAGATGGGTTCACTCCACACCCGTCCCGGTTGGAAGGGTGGACTCCAACTGCCAGTGGGGGCAGCTTCATGGTCGTGACCATGCCGTGCTCCGTCAAAAAGTCCAGGCAGGACTGCACGGTCTTCACCAACTTCTCAGGCTCCTTGTGCAGGAGCTCTTGCATTCCATCCAGCACGCGACGAGGAACTGCCATGATGCCCGGCGCAGTGAAGGAGTTGTCAGATGTGAACATGTTTGTGAGATTCGTGAACATGTGTGAGAGGAGTGGTCAAGTGTGATTAAGTTTGTGAAGTGTGTGAACAAAGCCTATGAGATTGCCACTGGCTGGTCAAGTGTGTGAACATGTTTGTTGTGAGACTCATGCGTGTGTAAAGTCAGAGTGTTTGTCGCATGAAACTCATGTTCTGAGATTGTCACCTTCATGTGAACATGTTTGTCATGTCACCTTCATGGGTCCTCGGTAAAAATCTTGAACACCCATCTGACGGTAGAAGTGTTTGTGCTTTTCCATCATGAACATGTCGGAGTCCTCCACATGACATGTCATGTCACGCCGTGTCATGTCATGGCCGTGTCATGTCATGTCATGCCATGTCATGTCACATGGAAACAGAAAACCATGTCATGCCATGTCATGTCACATGAAAACAGGAAACCATGTCATGCCATGTCATGTCACATGAAAAAACAAAGCCATGTCATGCCATGTCATGTCACATGAAAGCAGGAAACCATGTCATGTCGTGCCACGTCATGTCATGCCATGCCACATGAAAACAAGGAACCATGTCACGTCTGGCCATCTCATGTCACATGACAGCATGCAGGAAACCTCATGAAAGCCATGTCAAAGCAAGAAACATTCTGAATTGATCAATCGAAAAACACCGCCGACTTCACCTATAAAAGCAACTGCAAGCGAGTGAAACTCCAAATGACGTGTTTGCAAGTGTCGTCCTGTTCAACCACAACCTCTCGACGGCTCTCGACGGGGGAGGCGTACCCTGAAGTAGGGCGACGCCAGCAGCTGCACGCCACATCTGTGTTCCTGACCTTGTCCTTGACTTGGCGGGCGGGCTTGTATGTGTGATAAGTACTTAGCTCACTTAGCGTAAGTAGTTACATATTAGATAGTAAGTAGCTTATATAGTTACAACACAAAGTAACTGATGCGTCATAGTTAGTAAGTGATGATAAGTAGTTGTCATAGAAAAGTCAATTATATCTTTACTTACAGAAGTTATATCTCAAGATAGGCTACTTCCTAAGTAGCACTAAGCAGCACATCCAAATACTAAACGCCTTGAACCTTTAAGTACATACATATCTGGATCTTTTCAGTGCAACAACCCACCTCTCGATGTGGTTGAAACCTGCCCTGTTTAATGATGTTTTAAGTAGAACGTTTTAGGATGCTTAGGGAACAATCAATCTTCACCAACCTGGTCACAGCAACTTCCAAGCAACACCCTTTTGTGAAATAAGGTCAACTCCGTGTTCCCCTACCAAGAAGTCCAAAACAACTTCTTAGTTTAAGTACTCTTCTGGCGCAGGCCTGGTCATCTGTCAAGAGAAGGAAATGGGCCAAGCGCCCCCCAGCTTCCAAGCGTCTTCGGGCTAACAGCTCATCAGCTGACCCGCCATCTCCTACAATGATCAAACAATGATCCCGGTAATTCAGCTCGTCCGTCGGCAACGGCATCTGGCCGCCTCTGGCCCCTTCGAGCCACAAAGATGAAGCTGAACGAGCTCAAACATGTGAACAAAACCTCGTGAATGGCCCTTCCACTTTGAGCCTGCGCTAAATGGAACACCTGCAATGACCTGCATACGCACCATATGGAACCTTGCAACCACTTGTCCGCCAAGCCCGACGCTGCGAGCGATCCGGAGGGCTGGAACGGTGGGTCAGACGGTCTGCACCCACCCGAAGCCAAAGGTCTATGTGTTTTTAGGGCCCGGATGTTTTTCGGATTCTTAGGGTAGAGAACTGACTCAAGTCACTTGACTCACTTGTCTCACCAAAAAGTCATACGTGACTGACAAGTGAGTGGTCTTGCGGAACTTCCGCTGACTGGCCTGACATCTCCGCGTCCCCTTGCTTGACACTCGAGAGATCCTGCACGGCTGAGGCAGGTTGGAGGACAACCAGCTGTGACTGAGGGCTCCAGACTTGTTGGAAACACAACTCACGGCTCAATGATGGGTATCACGGTATCACTATCACCGTATCATGAATATTTGCCGACCATTGCTCATGCGCATGTGCCTTGTTGAGCCAACCTCAGAAACTCATGGACAGCAAGAAAGGAATGAGCCATGCCCTCATAAGGGCAATCCAACCGGCAATCCAGCTGCCTATTTTCCCAACCTGTCACAACTGAGGCCTCACAGCGGCAACGGGTAGTCATAGAAAAATGACCAAAATGGGATAACCACTGGTATACTCCACTTGTTTTGCTCAAGGACACCGGACATGATCCTTGATGTAGGTTCAGAAAACTCTTTCTTTGTAGAGAGGCCCCCCCTCTTCTTTCCCAAGAGAGGCTCCCATCTGTAGTGCAACATCCTCATTCTTCTCGTTCGCATGTAAACATTTACACTGGAAAGAACATCACAGAATCATAGTGGAAGTTATTTGGCTGGTCTGGCCCCGATGTTGGAAGACCATCGAATCCAAATCACACACACCGGTGGTTCTTCATTCCACGAAACCGTGTTCTGTCTGCGGTCGTCTGCCGGCCGTCTCCGGGTGCTCCTCTCAGCGCCGTCTCCTCTTGGAATTGAAGACTCCTCAACAAGACCATTGGGTGTTAAATGTTGCTAAGTTGCTGAAAGACATCGACACAGACCATCTTCTCTTGCGAGACCTCATCTTCCTCTTGCTTCGTAACCCACCTCCTTCTTGTGCTCTTCCAAAGCTTTTCTAAAGTCTTGAAGCCAAATTCAAACCACCTTGCAACCAGCTTGTGAAGGGCCCACTTCCAGTTGGTGGTGTGGCCACCTCCCAAACTTCCAAAAAAACATATATGTTGGGATTCGTGACCATGCGGACGGGCTGTTCAGAGAAAACCTTAGGAAAACAACACTCTTAAAAAGATGGACCTTACCTTAGGGGAGGGGAGGACTAGGTCACCACCAAAAATTACTTGTTTGTTAATTCCATGCCTTTTGAGTTAAATTGAGACTAGACCAGCTTTCAATTGGGGGGAGTGTTATGGAGTGTTTACCTCTCTGCTGTCAGACCATGTGTTTCCTCATGCTGACACCTTTTTTGGGTCCCCTCCAACATCCTATGTCGGCAACATCTGCTTGATGGCAATTAATTTGAGACTCAGTACCCCACCTCAATTTAATTCCTAAGGCTGGCCCCATTTAAGAAGTTTCCAGGTGAAAAGCTTGGAAAAACCTCCCTTCGAGGCCGCCACCATTCCACTAAGACGTTTCAAGACCCCGCCAAAAGGGGGAAACGTGGTCTGCAGGCAGAGAGAGAGAGGGAGAAGAGAGAGAGAAGAGAGAGAGAAGAGAGTGAGAACATATATAGGATTGTCCGATTCAGCTTCGAATTCCGAATGCAGATTCTCATTCAAATGTTCCGATTCTTTCCATGAAGACCGCCAGATGTTGTTTCATTCGACTGCCATGTTTTCTGCCAGCTTTGGACGCCGCGGACGTCGACGTAGGGGGCCGAGACGGTAGGCCCCTCACTTGGCTGATCTTAGGTTTAAGGCAGGTCTTGGATGGTGGACTGATCTTTCTGTGATCTGTGACTTTGATGACTGATGCTTGTTCATGTTTTCCAAGCCTTACAGGTGGAACTTCGCTTTTTGTGGGGCGCACTCCTTGGGTTGGGAAGGCACACCATGCTCCCGATGCTGCTCCCTCCCGGGCGCACCGGAGCGGCCGCATGGCGCCCCATGCTCGGGAGGCGGTGCTCACTGGAAGGAGATACCTCGGGCAGGCGCTGGGTGCCCTGGTCATCTGTCAGAACTTCATGAAACCAGGTGAACTGTTCAATGGCCGATTGATTCTCTTGCACGGGATGTATAGAACTTACAAATGCAACACGTGCTCTGAAAACAGTCTTAGGACGCCTTTTCAATCTTCTATTTCACTGTGCCCAGCTCATGCACAATTCCTGTGACACAAATCTGGTGCCTAGTCAGGTCAACAAGGCTTTGATGTCAACATCATCTGAGATGGACTCCCTCAGCTTCCAATTCGGAAAAAAACGGGCGTCTTTCAGGTGCGTGAGCGAGAATCATGAAACCTTAAGGTTTGGTTTATTGACTTATCTATCGATATATTCATATATATATATATATGGGTGTATTTACTTTTAGGGCGACCCACCAACCAATTATCGCAGGGTTGTTTGTCTTTTCTTGCTCTTGTCCGAATTATCTGAAAGTCTCCCTGTTGGATGCACACCCATTCTTGTAGGTTGTTCCCGGATCTAGGCAATCTAAGTAATCCACACGGATCCACTGGGTGGTGTCGTGCTTCCACTGAGGATGATCCACTGGGTGTCGATGGGTGGGATTTTTAGCAGGGAAACTCCTTTCGATGGCCCAAACCGGAACAAGGCAACAAAGTCACACTGCTTGCGGCCCCTTCCATTCTCAAAGGCCCACACCTCAAAAAAGAAAGTTGTCTTTTGGCCAACTGCCCTGTCCTCAGCAACAATGAGTCAGCATCCAAGCAGCTTCCATCGATGATCAGCGGCCGCAAGGGCAAGATGTCCACCTGGCACCCGCCCGTTCTCCCTTGGACTTCGGCGAGAAACCCCCGGTGCCCACCAGGACGACCTGCCCCGAAAGCCGGAAGAAACCAGGACGAAACGGACACCCCAATCACACATCTCAGAACGATGGAAGTGGTGGACATCGAAAGATGCCAAGAATCCGAACTCCGACTCTTCTCCTTGATTCTACAGAATTTCGGGACGAGGAGGGAACACCGGGAGGTTTTTATCACATTTGATAAGGTGTCCTGATTCCGGACATCATGAATACCTGGACCTTCTTTCGGGGTGTCCGGAGGTCCCTATAGGTCGTGGGCGTAGGGGCGAAACCAGCCAGGTGACCCCGACATGAAGGTGCTGGTATGTATGTTATATTCATTTCCAACGCCCATGAAACCGTCCCTGCAGCCCGTGCGACGCGAGTTACTTACGCCCCGGTCGTGTTTGCGGCGGGAACGGGAACGGCGCCTGCTTGCGACAGGACTCCGACCATGTCTGCAACCTGGGAGGGCTCGGTGATGGATCAAACGAGATGGATTCACATGGAGTGTTCATGTTGAGATGTTGTAGATAGCCCCTTCTTTCTACGCAAAAAACGAGAACAAACATGAACAACTCAATGAATTGGTCTGCCTAAATGCTATACTTTATTATACTTTTCTCTCCATGTCTTCTCATGTCAGAGCTGTTGTGGTGGTGACCAAACGCAAACATAGTTCTGGAGGGGCAGAGACCCAGAGGTCCAACCCAGACAGGATGGTCCTGGAATATATCTCTAGGCCTCCAAGTACCTTCTGAGAAGATGGTTGGGTCTAACCACCTTCTGAGGAGATGGTTGGAGCCCTAGGGTATATACATACAGAAGTCATTACGAGTCATTGGCCCACAGTTAGCGCAGCGACCGCTGGGTCACACCGATCCGCTTCCAATTGGACCAATTCGGGGAAGGAAGACCCCACCCGATTCACCGGGTGTCAAGCGGCTTGCGAGGAGGGCTTGGCTTTACCGGTTCCAGCCAGAAACAAATGACAACAAATGGATGTTTCCCCAGTCCTAACCACTTGTTATGTCCAGGATCTCAGCCATATTGGGTTCCAACCATGTGTTTCTGGTTGGGACTGGGTTTCCAGGAAATACCGATAAAAACATGAAAACATAATAACATACCTAGCACTTCCAACGGGTGCCCTGTCTGGAGACCTGTAAGTAGGGTGGGGGGTAGTCTATTGGTCACCCATTGGATGATCCTGGTACGTATTTATTCTCATCAGTCATACATTCACCAATTTAGGGGATTCACCCAGAAACCGGGAACATTCACACACCACCCCTTCTTCCGCCCAAGACCAGACTGCACCTGCTTTCCGTCCAACTCCACTAGTAGACCTTTCGAACCATAGCTCACCCGGCGCAATCAAAAACAAACCCTGCGGCCCTGAAGACACGGCAGGAATCGACACCATTCCATCTGCGCCCTGGGAACAGGCCGCGCGCTCCTTTTTGGGTTCCGACTAGCGCCAGAGATCGGCGACTCTTTCTTTGATCTGGGCGATGTCCCTCTTCAGAAGTTCTACTTCACCTGGTCGACCAGACGACGGCCACAGACGGCCGACCCGGTCCAGACCGGGACGACCGGTCCAAAGACCGACGAGGGGCGCCCTTTTTGCGTTCCTGGAAATTTGGGACCCTCCACCCAAGAACTGATGGGTGCGACCCAGACAATGAGGGAATCCAGCTCACCCCCCTGGCTATCCCAGGGAATGAGATTCCGAAATGGATCCAGCCACTCGAAAGTTCCTCAGACCTTCCTCGCAGCAGTCAGCTGCATCAACCGGGGCCTTCTTGCGAAACCCGAAGAAACCCTTGTTCTCCCCCTAAGCAAGTCAAAAATAAGTCGGCGAAGTCGTCCTTCTTCCAGGGATCCATCAATTATGAAACCTTTCAAAGTCCAAAGTTCCAACAACCGGTCTGGTCGAACAAACCAGTCGTCCTTGCAGGTCCATGTGACCCGGTTCCATGTGGGTCTCAAACACCGGCTGTCCGGGCCCAAAACCGCGGTGCCGAAGTCCTTCGGCGTCGTCGCCGAGGAAGACGGCAAAGGGACCGGTCGGTGAGACGAAAAGGACAAAGATAAAGGAAAGAGGGACACCTGGAACCCCAAACAACCAGAAAGAAATGGATGTTTCCCCAAACAACCATTTCCTATGTAAAGGATTTCAATTGCCATATTGGAACAACCATTTGTTTCTAGTTGTTTGGGGTTCCAGGCAGGAATGAAAGCAATTGGAAATGGCTATCTGGCTGGAACGTCGTCATACGGTGCATGGGGTAAACAGGAAATGAAAGCAACCGGAGCTGCTGAGCCGAAGCCGTCCCTCCGGTTCGGTCAATTTGTCCGAAGCGCCTTGATATGGGGACGAGCGGAAGTAGCCCTTGATCTCCGCGATGCGCTTGTCCTTGGAGACCTTTTGCAGACGCAAAGAGGACCAAACAGGTCGGACCTTCTCCATCTCAAGTGAAAACCATAGCAAGGCATTACTATTAGTAGCAAGGACACTACTAGTAGCAAGGCACCTTACTACTAGTAACAAGAAGCTAGTAGGTTGGAGGCCATTACTACTCAAGAAGCTATACAAAAGTACGAGTAGCTCCTGCCAGCTCGGAATCCACCTCACGGGCCTTCGACACACACCTTCTTGACAAGTCGGAGGTTTCGAACGGTCACCGAACACGGGATGAGTCCGGGAGTCTGGTGAGACGGCACAAGAAGCCGGTGGGATGCGAAGATGCACCTCTTAGACTCATGACTCTTAGTGAGTCATTTCTTTCACTCGAGTTGCGGAGAGTCGGGGAGATGTTACATCTCTGGAGAGTCGGGATGAAAGTCAGAATCACCCTGGACCAACTGCTTGAGATGTCGAAGACTGTGCGAGATATATCTGTGCAAGACTGTACGAGATATGTCTGTGTAAGACTGTGTAAGTTTGTAGTATAGATGCACGGTTTCGGTGTCCATTCATCATCAGTTTTCGCAATTTGATGAGCCACAGACTATAGCTCCAAGAGCTGATGGTTTTGAAACACGACAGGCTTACCTCCTAAGAGAAAGGATCCTGAATTCTGAGATTTCACAGTTTAACTGCTCATTGGAGATTCAATCTATAGAGAATCTTCTTGGTGATCGAAACTACTTTTTGTGGCCCGGCCCATGTGAGGCGTGTCATCCTACTCCTGCTACTTCTTCTCCTCTTTCTACTCCGAAGGCAGTGCTACTCCTACTCTTGCTACCTCCGTGTAACCACCACCCCTACCCCCAAGAGTAGTATCGCCACCGCTCGTAGCAGTAGTTAATGCTGCTGGTACTGCTAATGCTACTACTACTATCTGCTACTATGAACTATTACATACTATTACTACTACTGCTACTACACTGCTATTTCTACTCCTGCGGCCGACTACGACTGCTGCTAAGCACCAAGCTACTTTAAAAGTTACTAAGCTGCTAGTACTGCTACTGCCACTGGTCGCACCACTGGTCGCACGTCATTGCCTCACGTCACTGAGGAGTCCCACCTTCTCTTTCCACAACCTCACCAGCTTCATCAAGCCTCGTGGTCGGGGGGCAGGACATGCAGGGTCTGATAGGAGAACAATCGCACAGTCGCAACAATCATTACCCTCTATCCAACAAACATGGAAGTGGAACATGGCCCCTTGGAAGACGGTCTTTCCTCTACACCAACAATCTCTTGTCCACTTCCATGGTTGTTGGAGGGAGGCTAAGACAAATCAAAACATTGAGACATGGGCTGAGCGAAGTTCATTCAACAACTGAACCTGAGAGAGCAATGGCAACCCTGCCAGGAGACCACACTACAGGTCTAAGTGTTGATCAATCACCAAAGACCAACCAATGACTAGAAAGGACCAACAGGCTTTCTGTTGGCCCAGATGTGTATTGAGCAGATACATGTCATGTAATACATGACTGCTCAGTGTTCCCGCAAGTGATTCATGCTCGCTGTTCAACACGGATTGGCCTTTACCGATTCTCAACACTGCGCCAGCGGTAAAACCACTCTCGTCTCTCTCTTTCCATCGCCGCCAGCGGGGGGGTGGTCTTCGGGAGCCAAGAAATGCCACCGCTTGCTGATGACACTAGAACCCACTCAGTGCACCTGCTCTCTTGGTCAGAATCCAAGGGGTACAACCTGCAAGACCCAGAACGGATCTGCATCATGTCAATGATAAAGGTTCAGGGATAAAAACCAGCCCCAGATCCCATCGAACTTGAAGGTCTTCCAAATTCCTGCCTGAAATCCACGGATCTTGTAAATCATGAGTCTCAAGTTTCTCTTCTATCGTGGTCCCCTCTCGGGGTCGGGTGGCTCATTTCTGCCCAAGGTGCGCTTCATGTCCTTTCCACATCTATGCTTGTCTTGCGCGGGCGCCATGCCGCTGGGGCAAGAGGCTTGCCTACAGCGGCATACGTTCCATTTGGGTTCGAAAGCTTAGGCAAACGAAGTTCCGAAAGACAAAACGAACAACACCCAAATCCTCAAACATCGAATGATCCCCTTTCTTCGACTGGATCTGGCAGCGAAAGGATCCAACCACCTCCAGCTTGACCCTCCAGTCCCCGGTCCAACCGGGTCCCAAACCGCTGGCCGTCCAGCGAACGGGCCAGCTGGCCGTCGGCAGGGGGGGATCGGTCGTTACCGATTGATCGGTCAGGTGGTGAGTGTTCAAGTGAGTGAAAACGCGACGGAATGCGACCTCCGTCAACGGAGTGTGTGTCGAAAACACACAGATCTTTGGGGTGGGGGGGGGAACCCCCATTCATCCATCCGAAGGTGTGTGGAAAAGAGTTGATGCTTCGCCTCTGCAGTCTGTTGGAGGCGGATTCCACAAATCCATCCTGAGTTGGGTTCCTTTCATCCCACCTGCGGGTTTCCGTGAATCCCAACTCAAACTTACTTGCTGAAGATGTTTGCCACGGAGTCCGTGATTCCGCCACGGCATCCACGGGCCAGCCCTTGTGAACATGCTGGAAGCGATGTAAAGAATCCAAGCTGCCATTGGATGTGAAAAGGATGATCTTAATCCAAGGATCTACTTTTCCCACCTCACGTTGGGAGGGGTTGAAACCAGGCCAAGCTGCGCGAAAGGATTCCAGCGAGAGGTCTTCTTGAACCTCGGTGGTACCCAGCCGGCTGGTCACCAGGGGGGTTCCCAAGACACAGATCTTAGGACTCCGAGCTTGGAAGGCACACCCAGGGCTGGTCAGTGTGCCCCGCTTCAACACCCCTTCGGGGGGTTACTCTCAGGAGTTGGTCCGCCCCTGCTGTGCTCGAGCCGACTTCGTTGACCTAGAGGTCTCCACTTGCAGAAGTTGGAGGGTGTCCACCACGCTTCTTGAAACCCGGATGGATGTGCTTTTTTCATATTTTGGAACCTTTCGCCCGGGGCGGATGGGTCGCAAATAAATGTTTGGTAATGAGC